GCTCAACTTGGTGTTGTGCGCCAGATACACCCCTTCCTGGATTGAGAGATCTTTCAGTCACTTACACCCTGGTCATCTCCCACTTGGACTACTGCAATGTGCTCTACATGGGGCTACCCTTGGAGAGTATCCAGAGGGTTCAGCTGGTGCAGAATGCCACAGTGTGAGCAATTTTTGTGTAGCCTAAAGACAGCACATGTTACATCTCTGCAGCATGACTTGCATTGAGCGCTGGTTTGCCTCCGGGTCCATTTCAAGATGGCATAACCTCTAAAACCCTCCATGGCATGGGGCCAGGTGACCTGCATAATAACTCTCCATGACATCCACCCATTCCACACCCCATCACTGAAAGAATTTTGACTGGTGGTATCCAGGAAGAAAGCCTTATCTACCGCCGGTCTTACCCCCCCCCCAGCCCTTTGGATTATCTTCCCCATAGAGGTGAGTCAGGTCCCACTCACCTCTTAACTTTCAAAACAGTTTGAAAACCTGGCACCGCCAACTTGTGTGGAGTTTACGGAGGGATTTATTAGAAACCTGAAGACCCTCATCCTGCCTTGCTAACTTTAAAATTATTCTACCCACGTTTAACTACCTCCTTTTATTGAGATTTTGATATCGTTTTAACCATACATAGCCCAGAGTCACTTTGAAAGAAGGATGGATAGTCTATAAATTTGATAGATAAATATAATGTATGACATCTTGTCCAAATTGCTTCATCGCTTCATTTACACAATGACATCGTGGTGCATGAGAAGACATTGTGGCTTCTCCTTGATGCCAGGCTGCCTGGATTTTCATCCTTTGAGCAACGCACTTGTGTCTTATGAATGCGCTTATATTGCAAGGAGAGAGAGAGAGAGAGAGAGAGAGAGAGAGAGAGAGAGAGAGAGAGAGAGAGAGAGAGAGAGAGAGAGAGACTACAGCTAGCTCAAACCCTACTTAGTTATGTCAGTAACTGCTTATAGTACCCAATTATCTAATGCTTTCAAAGAAGATGAAAGCCCTTCACTTTTGCAATCAATAGGAATGCTAAAAAAAAAAGGAAATAAAAATGCAGATTTGTCCGAAGAGAAAGAGTCAGAGAAAGAGGAAAAGGAGAGACAGAGGATGTTATTAGCACTGTCAATTTAGCCCTGAATGTTATGGCATGCATGTCAATAAAAGAGACAGAAGCTATTATTGAAATGAGATTAGAATCATTTTGAAATATCAACAGCAGCCTTGGAGTTGCTAACGGAATTGACTGATACTACAGAATCACAATGCCATTGGGGACAGAATACAGAGCAGAGATGATTTTAACTTGTCTGGATCTGACCTTGCCAGGTCCCGATTAGATGATGAACCAACTACGTTTTCTTAGTCAAAGGTATCATTCATATCTCCAAGTATAGACACAAACATCTTTTGGGGTCTTCTCTGATTAATGAACATATCAAATCATCCAGAGCTTCTCTCTCTCTCTCTCTCTCTCTCCCTCTCTCTCTCCCTCTCTCTGATGATTCACTATCTTCTATCTTAGTACATTGCCAACTACCAAAGTTCTCATGGCAAACTTATTTTAATGCTTCTCTCTTTCTCTCCTCTCTCCCTCTTCTTTCTCTCCCCCTCATCTCTCCCCCTCATCTCTCCCCCTCTCTCCCCCCCTCTCTCCCCCTCTCTCTCCCCCCCTCTCATCTCTCTCTCTCTCTTTCTCTCCCCCCTCTCTTTCCATGAAAGAGGTCACATTGATGCCTTGTAGAACTGACCTTCACCTGGTGGAAATATGATAGGAATTAGCTTCTTCTTGCTTCACTGAAGGACATTAATCCGATTTCACCTTATCTCAGTCTGGGAAAGATGAGATGTAAGGCTAAGATGATAAAAGATATTGGTGCCCAGTTTTTCATCACAGGTTTATGAGTGGAAGAGCCAAGAGCAATTTGGTTGTGTCTTGCTCAGGGAAGAGCTGTACTGTACAGTTAGGAGAAGAGAGAATTGAGGAGGAGAGAAAAGACGAGAAGAGGTGGGAGAGGAAGGAAGGAAAGAAGGAAAGGGAAGGGAAGGGAATCTGGGTGTCACTAGGAGAGAAACCTGCTATCATAAGACAGTTCCATATTGCAGTTTTCTTTAGAAGAAGAAGAAAAAAAACACTTTTGGGAGTGTGTAACAATAGGTGAAACCCCAAAGCCCCTAGTCAAAACTGCAAAGAGATTTATTGCAAAGCTTTGCAGCTCACGGACCCGCCTCCTCTTTGTACAGGGGGTAAAGAGCAGGGGGGGGGCTTCCCTCCCTCCCTTCCCTTAAAATCAATCAGATGCTATTATTCAGCCTAAACCCAAGTTTATTGTCTCCATCTTCCTTTAGAGGCTGATTTGATGCCAGGTAGAAAATTGAGTTTCCTTTGCGTTTCTTTTCCCCACACAATTCTTTGGCAGCTCAGGGACATTTGTCTGTGTGGGAAACCCACTTCCTGTCTCAATAAACAAGTACATGGAAGTCTTTTTCTGGGTACATAATAGAGACTTTCTCCCTCTCCCTCTCCCGTCTCCTCTCTTTCTTTTTTTTTAATTTAATACAAAAAAAAACATTCCACACTTAACACATCAATGAACCCACTTAAGCTCTGCTGCCTCCGAATTAAAAGGAGAATTGTGTGATCAAAGAGTGTGAAAGAGCCACACATGGAGTACTTCAGACACTCTACTTTTGTTACATTTGATACATTACAAACTCAATAAATATATGGTTATCTCGGAGGCTGGTTTTCATTATCTCCCAGGCTTCTGTTTAAAAGCATTTCTGGACTAGACCTCTCTCTTTCTCTCTTTCTCTTTTGTTTTCTCTCTGCCCTGTTGATATTCTAACATTTGCCGATTTTTAGGAAGTATCATGCACCCTACTCCTATCCCTAGTATTACTATAAATAGGAGTTCAGATATAGTAACAATGATCAACAGGTAGTAGAGTGCAAGAGGTTTTAAGTAAATAACTCTATTCATATGCTTGCAATTGTCTGAGACTTTTCAGTTCACAAAAAGAATGACACATACACACACACACACACACACACAAATGTATAGGTGTCCTGGGCTTGAGAAAATTGTAAAAAAAAAACTGAAGTATTTTTGAGAAACCTGCAATAATTAGATGAAATCGTAGACCTATTCATGAATACGAACAGAGGGGAAATACTTTGAATAACTGAAGCTGAAGCTATGCTAATGAGGCCCTACTCTGGCTTTACATAGATAGATACTCTGGCTTTTCATTATTGTAACAATAGGGAAGCTGTTGGTGTTTCTCCTCAATTCTGTTAGGAAAACCAAGATGGTTTAAAAGTAAAGGGAAAAAAACAGAGGTATCCGTCACATCGTTCCTTCTCAGGGTGAGCGACTTGTGCAGAGTGCAGAAAAGGTTAAGAAAGTCTCAGCCAAAGAAATTAAAGCATGAGTAATACACCATTTCCTATACCTCTCCATCTATTTTTGTGGGTGCTCCATCGCTGGAGGTTTTCCAGAAAAAGATTGGACAACCCTCTGTCCAGGATGGTCTAAGACAGGGGTAGGCAACCATGGCTCTTTTATGACTCGTGGACTTCAACTCCCAGAATTCCTGAGCCAGTAAAAGAGCCACGGTTGCCTATCCCTGGTCTAAGAGGACTCCTGCCTTGGATAAGTGTTGGACTAGAAGACCGCCCAGGTCCCTTCCAGCTCTAGGAGTCTATGATTTTATGATTCTATTTCTGTCCTTGCAAACATTCCAAGACATCTACTGCTTTACAACTCGCCTTTCCTACTTTCCTTCTTAGGATCTCAACAACTCCACCCAACCATGGACTCCTTGCCTTTCTTCTCATCTGGGGAGAAATACTGTATATATATATTTCCTCCCTCAATTGCAATAAGGGAAAGACAGTTTTCCAAAATGGAATATTATGAAATTGAGCATTCGCTCAATTCGAAGTTACTATGGCTGGGCTCAGGAATTCTGGGAGTTCAAGTCCCCAGTTTGTGAAGGGGCCACATAGTTGTCCATCTCTGATTTAAGGCATGTGCAGAAATGACCATCTTTTAACAAAAGTGTCTCAAACAGGCAGGCTGAGCCAGGGACATCCTTCAGAGGATTGGAGAGAGAGAAAAAGACAAGACAGTAATTTGATGATACAATTATGGTCAGTCTCTTGATTTTGTGACACACACCCCATACGGACACCTTCACAGCATCTTCAAGGGAGTGGAGCAGCACAGCTGCATGAGATATTTGGCTGCATCAAGAATTTCATAAATCCTTTTGCTTCATTCAATCTGTACAGATGGAGCATGTCCAGAGGGCTACAAGCAGTCCTCGGCTTATGACAACTGTTGGGACCAGAATTTCCATTGCTAAGCAAGGCGGCTGTTGTGACCTCTTTGCCATGGCTGTAAAGTGAATCAGGAGGTCATTAAGCGAAGCTGGCTTTCCTACTGATTTTGCTTGCCAGAAGCCAACGGAAAAAGTCACAAACGGCGATCCTTTGATCCTGGAACATGACCACCATTGTAAAAACATGTGAAGCACCCATATTTTGATCCTGCAGCCTTGGGGATGCTGTGACGGACAGATACGAAGGCCAGTCGGGAAGTCACCTTTTTCATGACCATTCTAACTTCAAAAAGCCCCTAAAGAAATGGTTGTAAATCAAGGACTACCTGTGTACATATATTAAAGCTGGCAGAGAATACCTTTCAGCCCAGTCTAACCGTGACTAAGCCACAATGCTGTTGCTTAGGAGACTTGCGGGTAAATCTCTAGGATATGAACTGAAATTCACATGCTTCCCACACCCGGTCTCCGATCCGGGCAGGCTGCGAGAGAGTTAAATATTTCTGCAATGTTCAATCAAGCTGTCTCTCATGAAAGTGCTTTTCTAACCACCCTGCTGGCTGCCATTCCGTCTCAGGGCAAGGGGGCCTCAGACAGGCAGTGACACCAAACATAAATCCGATTGCTTTGCTAACTGAAGAAAATAATGCCGGGGAATGGTTTCATTTCTTCCTTCTTCTTTTTTTTCTTTCTTTCCAGGCCCCCCATTGAAAGCCTATCACCGTCTTCCTCCCTCTTGCTGCAATCTGCCGTCCAACAGGGCTGCCCTCAAAATTCCAATTTTTATTCCAGACAGATGTGAATGCTGAAAAAAGAAAAGGGGAGGGGGGGTTAAGAAGCCATTTTGCAGTCGAGATCTGAAGTCGGTGGAGGGGGAGGAGAGAAAGGAGGGGGGAGCGCCTGCCTTCTTGGAGACACTCGCCATGTAATATTAATACGCAGAGAAAATATTTTCGGTCCATGCGTGTATTTATGAGATCCTCCGGGAAGACAAAATTCCTCCAGCCCACAGGAGAGGCTGAACGAATTATCAGAGGGGGGGGGGGGGAAAGCTGCTGATAGATAAAGTGCAGGACAGAATCCATTCTGGCACAGAGATTTTTCTCTGCGAGGGTAGCGGTATTGGTTTCATTTAATTCTTTCTGCCTGTTCATTTCTTTATTGCAAATGCTAGCCTGGGGAAACATTCAAGAGTGGGAGGGGATGAAAAGGTAGGTTGGGAGTTAACACAGGAAATTAACCCTGCTGTGGCAGAAAGAGCAAATGCTGAGTAACTTTGGGGTGGAGGTTGTAAATATGCCATTCCCCTTGGCTTGGAATTATTCATTGTCGATCACCCAACAAATCACAAAGCCAGTTGTTGCTCATTATAGAATAGTAGAATCACTGGGCTAGAAGTCATCTTGGAGGCCTTCTAGTCCAACTTCCTGCCCAAGGTGAGACTCTTTAGGCCATCCAGGACAGATGGTTGTCCAATCTTTTCTTGAAAACATCCAGTGATTGAGCACCCACAACTCCTGGAGGCAAGCTGTTCCATTGATTAATTGTTCTGTCAAGAAATTCCTTCTGATTTCCAGGTCGGATCTTCTGAGGAGCTTCCACTCATTGCTTCTTGTCCTGGCCTCAGGTGCTAGGGAAAATAAATCAACCTTCTTTTTCTCTGTGACAGCCCTTCAAGTATTGAAAGATGGCTATCGGGTCTCTCCTAAGCCTTCTCTTCCTTAGGCTACACATACCTAGACCCCTTAGCTGTTCATCATAGCATTTAGCCTCCAGACCTCTTATCATCTTTGTAGAAACCATTATAATTGAATGTCACTGTCACAAGTGATGTTTTGGAAAGGTGACATGGACACTTGGGACTGGTGTCGGCTCTGTGGATTCTACAGCCTGCATTATCAATAGAAGAGAATATTTGTAGCTCGGGGTTCAAGTGTGAAGACCTTGGTCCTCATCAGAGAGACCTAATTTCAGAGAGAGCACCAAGGATTCCAGAGTCTGCATTAAGTGAGCAAATCAAGAACCAAGGAAAAAATGGGTGAGAGAAAGGGTGAATTTCATCAAGCACTTTAAAGAAGTACCTTTTCAGGAGGGCTTGCTTGGTGATTCAAGAAGATATTTTTATGCCCTTTCGGCTATAAAGCCAAGTCATCGCCTACCAGGAAGATTTCTCACCTGCAAAGAATCTATTTCAGTGATCCATTGTGGAGTTCTTTGGATCATCTCATCCAAGCCTATCCATTGTTTTCTGGTGACTCCCAAGCATTTGTTTTCTGCAGAGACTTCTCAAATCCAACCTGGAGATGAAGCAGAGACTTCTGCATTAAAGAACGGGCTCTGCCATGAAGCTCACCAGAAAGAGCTGCCGAGTTTAGGCCAGTTATGAATCATTTGCATATATTTATGCCAGGCACCAAAACAGGCACCACGAGTGTGCAGTGTGAATTCTTGAAGAAGAAAAATGTCCAGTCTAATCTTTGTTCCAACTAGGGCCAGCTACAAAAGCTTTAAAGCTCTTATAAATCTCTCTTTCCGCCTTGAGTAAGTTCCCAAGAAGGCTGAGGGAGAAGCGTAGATTCAATAGAAACCATACCGTAACCCGTTTATTTTCACTGCGGACCTAAGAAGCTGCTGTTCAAGTGAAGGGGCAAGTTTTCCATGGAGAAATGTCTTCCACTAAAGAAGAGGGAGAACTGCACTATCATACAAGACACCTGGAGATAATCCTGGCTAGTCAAAACAGTTTAGCAACAGTAAACCAGCTTGATAGAAAATACGTTCATAATTCAAGATGAACGGCATTCATTGGCTTGAGGCAGGTGACCCAAGTTGGACCAGAATTAGCTTCTTGGACTTTGCTGGCTACTTCATTTGCTGGAAATGCCGGGGGAAAGACTATCATTGAGGTTTTGCTTCAAAATGGTTTGGCTGCTTGGGATCCTTGGTTAAAGAAAAGACCTCTTGCTGTTTTGCAGAGCAACAGGGGGGCCTCCAAGACTTTGTACATGTCTCAGGTTCAGAGGGAGGGGATGATGGGTCTAGAGAAGGATCTGCCTTTTGGTCTTACACAAAACACTAAGGCACAAGTCAACAACATAGTGCCCCAAACTCTTCACTTTAGTGCTTGTGAGGTTCACTGGTCCACATGAGGTGGTGTTTTTTGGGGGGGGAAGCAGATGGACTTCTGGCCATCCATCACAGCCTAATCAGATGCACGATGACATCACTGTGTGCACGGAGTCATCTGTGCAAGGATGTCCTGACTGCCATGGATGTGGTCCCGTATAAGCAGCATTAGGAAATAAATATGGCAGAAGACCGTAATACAGATATTTGAATTTTATAGCAACATTCCTGCCTGTTTGGGAAAAAGGAAGAGAATAAAGAGTATTATGGGCTAGAAGTGGGGAGTCAATTTCATCCACTTAATCAGAATAGAGCTGGAAGGGACCTTGGGGGTCTTCTAGTCGAACCCCCTGCTCAAGCAGAAGATCATATACCATTCCAGACAAATGGCTGTCCAGTCTTTTCTCAAAAACCTCCAGTGATGAAGCACCCACAATTTTTGAAGGCAAGCCGTTCCACTGGTCAATTGTCCTTATTTTTAGGATTTTTTTCCTGAACTCCAGGTTGCTTCCCTCCTTGATTAGTTTTCATCCATAGTTTCTTGTCTTGCCTTCTGGTGCTTTGGAAAATAAGTCGACCCCCTCTCCTCTTTGTGACAGCCCCTCAAATACTGGAAGACTGCTATCATGTCACCCCTAGTCCTTCTTTTTTCGAGACTAGCCATTACCCAGTTCCTGCAACCGTTCTTCTTATGTTTTAGTCTCCAGGCCTTTAATCATGTTGCTCTTTGCTGCCCTTTTTCCAAAGTCTCAACATCTTTTTTGCAATGTGGTGACCAGAACATGTTCCTAGTTCCTGGCAAATGAATATTTTGTGACCAGCCGTGTCTTCAATGGCTGCCCTTTTGTGAATGCACAACTCTCCTAGCAGCTATTTTACCCAACCTCAAATTCCCGTATGTGTTCACTGGCCTTCAAAAGGCTGCCTGCATCTGCCCAGAGAGGTTGCCTCTTCTGTACGTTCAGTTGCAAAGATCTAGTAATATATCTTGGGGGGGGGGGGAATATATCCTTTGACCAGGGGCACAGGAAGCCAAGACCTACCCAAACAGACAGTTCATCTCCTAAAGCCAATAAAAAGGTGGTGGAAATGATGGAGGAGAGATTTAACTGCAGCCTGGCAAACGTTTTTCGCCTGTGCACTTTGGGAATTAATTTGGATTTTTGAGCAATGACAAGCAATTACCTCTCTCTCGCATTTCAGGAACATTTGGGTCCAGTCCAGCTTCTGAAAAAAAAAAAACCCTGCTGGTGATTGGATGAAAAATGTCAGTTCATTTTGTATCTCGCATTTCGCTCGGTCTGCTCCCAACATCTTTCCCAGGGCGATCCAGAATGTTATGAGATCCTTGGCAAAAGACACGGATTTAAAAGCTGCTTTATGATTACTCTTATTAGTAAAACCATTATTGAGCAGCAGCGTAGGATTATTGCCCGAGATGGTGGTAAGTATAATATAATGCAATACAATAAAGGAACACGGGCACCCAGCATTCTGCGGTTTAATGAATCCGCCATGAACAAGAAGAACAAAAATCAATAGTTTCCCATTTCCTCTAGATTATGCATTATAAATTTCCTTGGAGTTTGGGGCGGGGGGGGGGGGAGAGAGAGAGAGACAGAATATCTACAAAGCTCGCAGGCATGACCAAAATCTTCACATTCAACTTAAAACTGGATGCACTGGCAACCAAATGGAAGTGAAATAAAATGTTAAGGACTTCTGCAAAATTGTGTGTGTGTGTTTGTCTCTTTCCTTGTGTGTGTGTACCTGCATGCATGCATGTATGTTTTGTGTGAATACATATATACCCAAACACACTCACACCCAGACTGCAGGCATCTATAGTCTATGTCTGTCAAGCACAATTCTCTCTTGATGAATGACAAGGTATGATAATCGGGCTCAGGTTGCCATGGCAACCAGACAGCCAAGCTGTGTGCCTTGAATTTTGTCATCTAAAAATGAAACCAGAAGCTAAAGGCAGGGGAGGGGGGGGAGAGAGACAGAGGGAGAGAGAGAGAGAAAAGGAGAGAAAGATGCGAGTAGAGCCAACAGATTAACTCATAGGAGCAAAGGAAGATGGATGGCAGAGTGGGCAGCTACAAGTAAAGAGAAAGCCAGAAAGGCAAAGGGGTTAAGGAGGAAAAGAGGACCTTCGGTTCAGCAACCAATGTCATGGGAATGTAAAACCTTATTGTGATTTGTGGGGTCCTTGATGCTTTCTGAGCTTGGCTGTTTTCTTGCAAATGTTTCTGCAAGTGGTAGAAGTCCTTCTATCACTGATGATATTACCTAGTTGGGTCATGAAACATCTGCAAGAAAATAACCAAGCTCAGAAAGTGCTAAGGACCCATAGTTCTTCCCTGAGCCACAAATATTCCCTTCCATAGTTATTGTGATTTTGATGGCAATTAGGATTGGCAGTGGCTTCTCTATTGAAACCATCTGAGAACATCTTAGGTTCCTGCTCTAGGACATTAGAAGGGTGGGAGGGCCCTTCGACCAATTCTTAGTGGATCTGTAAGGGAAGCCCTACACCACTGATCCCCTTGGGACAGGAGGTCTGTGCTCCAGGGAGAATATAAAGACAGTCCCGTTGGCTTAGATTGATGCTCCAGCTCAAGGCTGGCTCAAGGCATTTTGCTGCCTGAAACAAGGGACAAGGTGGCTCCTCCTTTCATTGCATGCATAAATACCAAGTGGACTGGCTATGGTCCATCATCAACATGGACCATGGAATAAAAAGCAATTGGAATTCGGGATAAGTTCTACTTCATTTGAAGCGCTCTTTTCCAACATTCTTGGTTCCCACTTTGCCTATTGGTAGGACAAACCACTGTTGATCTAATCAACAATTAGATCATATAACAACAGCAACAATAATAAAAAGCTAACATGGAGATGGTTGAGATCAGAAGTGCTAAAGAAAGAAACTGAAGGCTTCATTTTAGCTGCCCAAGAACAAGCCTTGCAGACCAGTTCCATGAAAGCAAAAAATCCAACATCTCAGCAACAGCAAATGTCGTTTATGCAACGAGAAAGATGAAACAGTGGATCACCTTATCAATGGCTGCAATAAAATCTCACAGACTGATTATCTACAACAGTGGTTCTCAACCTGTGGGTCGGGACCCATTTGGGGTCGATCGACCATTTCACGGGGGTCGCCAAGCAAGGCTGCCTGCCATTTTTTTGTCCGCCATTTTTTTTGTCCGCCATTTTTTTTCCCTTTTCCGGCGGGTGCCTTACCTCCCTTGGGCTGGGCCAGCTGGTGGTCGGCCTGCTCCGTCTCTGCCGCTTGCCAGCTATGCCTCGGCCGGCGCAGGGGGCAGAACCACGCATGCACGGCGCTCCCGGGCAGGGAAAGTCCTCAACTTACGACCAGTTGGGTAGTCCTCGACTTACGACCGGTTTAGTCCTCAACTTATGACCGGTTTAGTCCTCGACTTATGACCGGTTTAGTCCTCGACTTACGACCGGTTGGGGTCGCGGCATTAAAAAGGTTGAGAACCACTGATCTACAATGTCATGATCGAGTTGCCAAAATTATACATGGGAAGCTTTGTCAGAAGTTTGGGTTCAGATGCGGCAAAAATTACTGGGAACACCAAATTAACAAAGTTCTTGAAAATGAGCAAATCCAGATCCTATGGAACATTTGGATCCAAACAGACAGATATCTGGCCTGACATAACTATTGTGGAGAAGAAAAAAGTCGGGTTAATTGTTATTGCAAGAAACAATGGATGGAAACTAATCAAGGAGAGAACCAACCTAGAAGTAAGAAGAAATTTTTTGACAGTGAGAACTATGGAACAGCTTGCCTTCAGAAGTTGTGAGTGCTCCAACTCTGGAGGTTTTCAAGAAGAGACTGGATAGTCACTTGTCTGGAATGGTATAGGGTCTCCTGCTTGAGCAGGGGGTTGGACTAGAAGACCTCCAAGGTCCCTTCCACCTGTATGTATGTATGTAAGTATATAATCTGATATCCTATTTCCCTAAAGTCCAGTTGGATTCCTATATATAAGATTTTATCTCAAGCTATAAAATGGGAAAAATTATTTAAGGATGGGGTGAATCTCTTTAAATTACTGGTGAAATCTGATCAGTGTAGGATCAATTTACTCATTTTTCTTGAGATAAAGAATATGTGATTTGTTCTGAGAAGATAAAATATTTTTTTCAATTAAGCAACATTTAGACTCTAACCCTTCCATTTTTTTCCCAGGCACCAAACATACCTAATACTCTTTCTTCCTCCTCTTTTTCCCAGAATAACCCTGTGAGGTGCATTGGGCTAAAAGAGTAGGACAGATCCAAAGTCACTCAGCCAGTTTTCATGCCTAAGGTACAACTAGAAGTCACAATGTCCTGGTGATTGGCTCAACATCGCTCAGTTGGCTTTCATACTTAAGGTAGGACTAGAACTGAATACTCTCTTGGTGATTGGCCCAAAGTCACTTGCTGACTTTCATGGCTAAGGCGGGACTAGAACTCACCATCTTCTGATGATTGGCCCAAAAACACACAGCTGGCTTTCATGACTAAAAGAAGACTAAAACTCAATATCTCCTGGTTTCTAGCCCAGGACCTTAACCACTGCCCAAACTGACTCTCTAGGTATAGATGCTCTTGATTTGGTTTTTGCACCAGAAAGTGACAGGGTTGCAAAAAAAAAAAAATAGGAGACAGCATGCTCTGACATGGTCATGACTAAAAACCGTATCATCTGTCTTTGTGATTAGAAAGCTTTAATCAAGGACACCATTGACAATGGTTGAATTCAGAGAGGCTAATGGGATATTCTGGCAGTGTATCTTAAATGTGGTCATTTATGTATCCATTTATGCCTTATATATAGGTATAATTTTGGGGTTCTCTACCTTTAATGTAGAGTTCTTTCTAAATTTGTGAATGACCCAACCCTTTCATTCACTAGTAGTTGAACTTTGACTACCTGGGCAACTTTCCTTCCTTCCTTCCTTCCTTCCTTCCTTCCTTCCTTCCTTCCTTCCTTCCTTCCTTCCTTCCTTCCTTCCTTCCTTCCTTTCCTTCTATTCATCCCTATTGTAGGGGATGAGTAGGGAATTCTGGAAGTTGAAGTCCATACATCTTAGTTGCCAAAGTTGAGAAACACTGCTCTGTCTGTCTGTCTGTCTGTCTGACTGTCTGTCTGACTGTCTGTCTGTCTGTCTGTCTGTCTACTTATCTACCTACTGGTAAACAGATTTCTGGAGTTCTCTGGTTAAATGCAAATTTTGGAAAAAGAGTAGAATACTGCTTCAGGGCACAATCAGGCAGAACATTCTTTTCCTACATGTTTTTCTATCACTTTTCTCTCACAGGGAAGAAAATAATTTTGAAAAAAAAATCTATGGATGGTGACCTTGCATTTATTCAGTGACAAGTGTCCAAGGAATGTGTGCAAATGTGCAGTTTTTCCTTGAACAACTATCACTCCAACAAGCAGCAGCCTCTCTGGCTTCTGATGCCTCACCTAAATTATGATGGGAAAACTTCCTCTCATAAGGAAGCCCCTCCCCTTTTTGGTTGGAAAATCTGAGCATCCAGGGCAACTTCAGAATAGTCAACAACATTAGCCAGTGTTTCCTTTGCTTCATTGAATGATGAAGAACACAAAAACCATCACCTAAAAAAAAATTGGAAGTGTTTTCTCAGACAGGACGACAATAAGAAAAATGAGAAGAAAGTGTTTGAGGAAGTGCAACACTAAATACATGAGTTCAGAGACCAAATTACTGCATATAGAACAATCCATATGTATATGGAGGCTAAAACATATAAGGAACGTTTGCTGGAATTGGGTATATCTAATTTAATGAAGAGAAGAACGAGGGGGGCCATGATAGCAGTCTTCCAATATCTCAGGGGCTGCCACAAAGAAGAGGGAGTCAAGCTATTTTCCAAAGCGCCTGAAGGCAGGACAAGAAGCAACAGATGGAAACTAACCAGAGAGAGAAGCAACCTAGAACTAAGGAGAAATTTCCTGACAGTTAGAACAAATAATCAGTGGAACAACCTGCCTCCAGAAGTGGTGAATGCACCAACACTGGAAGTTTTTAAGAAGAGACTGGACTGCCATTTGTCTGAAATGTATAGAGTTTCCTGCCTGAGCAGGGGGTTGGACTAGATGACCTCCAAGGTCCCTTCCAAGTTTATTCTTATTCTTATTCTTATTCTATGCTACAAGGCAGCATAAAAAG